CTGCATGTGACTTACACAGCCTTCCTAAACACTTCCTGTAAAGAGTAATCTAATGTTTACACTTCCTCTATTGAAAAATCTGTATAATTTAGAATGTCTTATTTCCTGCTCTGTTAATATCCTGCTAGACCCTGTAGGATCCTCCTGTATGTAATTAAAGTTCAATTTACAGAGCAAGATATGAAAACTTTTAAAGTAAGTTACATCTGATTGAATATGAAACCATTTTGTTTTCATGCAAACTGTGTCAGCCACAGCCAGGGGAGGTGTAGCTAGAGCTGCATAAACAGAAACAAAATGTATTTAACTTCTAAATGGCAGTGAAATGCAGAAGTAAGACTGCAGGGGCATGATCTATACACAAAAACGGCTTCATTAAACTTAAGTTGTTTGTGTGACTATAGTGTCTCTTTAAGAGGAAACATTTAATTTTCACAAATTAATAGGCACTCTTATTTACATGTTTTATTTTCAGACACAGTTGACAGAAATGAAAAAAAAAATGTTCCAAAGATGGAATTGTGAGATGACTCAGACAAGCAGTCAGAAAAATGTGTGGGCATAGAGTGTTGCATTGCCCTGATTTACAGTGTATCTCTCATGTCCTACATGGGACTATTACATGTCACCGTACAAAATTAACATGGTGGCACGTTATAGAAAATGCAGCATCGTCTACATTTCATAGCCAAATAAACTAAATAGCCAAATAAAATAAATTATTTATGGCTACTGATAATACTGAAGAATGGGCTCTGGTTCGTACTGGTATACATTGTATACATGTTTATGTACTTGTATGATACAATGATTTATTTTGATGCAAACCTTACACCCTACTAAACCATATTACTTGCTAAGGTCCACCCTGTTGTAAGTCAATAAGAAATTACAAGGAAAAATCTACCATACTTTAGTGTGACTATATCTGTTCCGATGTCCCTAACAGATGGGAAAGGCACATATTATAGGCATTAAAATCTCACTAGATATGTTCAATCTGTCCGACTAACTCCTAACCCTTTAATGGTTGCAAGAAAAAGCAAGAAAGCTATTTTTAGTTCTATAAGTCCACTAAATTCTAATCTATAGGTTCTGCTCTTTTGGGCTAATATTTCTAAATCTTTAGATTTCCTAGTTTAGTGAACGGACCCTTAAGTCTGTCCATGTCACTTGCATGACGTGCCAAATGTAGTGTAATACAGATCTTTCTATATAGTGTATAGAGAATAAAATGTGTTCACAAACACAGATTAATTGCGTGTCCCTTTTTTTAATTAACATGTTGCCTTGGCAATGTATGTCATATATCATGCAAATACATTAGTATAGTATGGTACTGAAGCAAAAAAGAAAGGATGAGAACTCTGTGTGTTTTTGCTCACTTGTGCCATTACAGAGAGAACATATCTGAAGCATATCAGACTGGTCCAGCCTCTACGGGCAGTCCAGATCCGAAATGCCAGCAAATAATTTCTGCCAGAGAGATACCCCAGATGATCTTTCCCGGCCTTCTTTGGGGCCTCGTCACTGATGTGTAGCTGATATCCCTCTAGGAACAGTGAGCACGAGGTCCACGTCTGGATTACCCTTTTAACTTGGGGTGAGCCAAGTTAATGCATTAAAGCAAAAAACGAAGAATATGAGAACTCTGTGAACGGGCAAAAGCGTAGAGAGATCTAAAAGCTTGCCCTTGTATGGTATGGTATTGCATTGTATATATCAGGGGTAGGCAACTTTCAGCACTCCAGATGTTGCAGACTACATCTCCCATTATGCTTTGCCAGCATTATGGCTGTAACAGCGTGGGAGATAACGTCCACAACATCTGGAGCGCCAGAGTTTGTCTATCCCTGGTATATAACGTGGTTTCCGTTGCTATTCCTTTTTACCTGCTAAAGTCACTCCCTTGATGTCTTGACTTACATTCATTTTGTTATATAAGTACAGACGCACTGTTAAATAACCAACAGCAATATGTTACCTTTATTTACTTAGCGAGCCTCTTATAAAGGCAATGACTTCCAGTTTGAAAAGGTTAAGGTTATACAGTGTATTTAACTTTTAACAAAGTGCAGTACTCATTCTAAGATACAGAAACACTGCGCTATTAGAGTATTTTCAAAGGAGGGTTTTTGTAGCAATACTTCTGTTTTACATATTTTTATGAATATGTTTTATAGCACTAAGTATTATGCACTTAATTCATT